AAAGACCAAGGGGGTCGGGCGTGGGTGGGTGGGAAGGAGGGAGAGGAAGAGAAAGACCAAGGGGGTCGGGGGAGAGAGAGAGAGAGAGAAATCCCCCAGCCCCTAAAGTTGCCGGAGGGGTCTCTCCCGAACGCCTGTTGAGTAAGCCAGCTTGGGCTCTACAAGCTATAAATATCGCTCCCTCCTTCCTTTCTTCCTTCCTCCCTTCCTCCCTTCCCTCCCGCGGATCAAATAGCAGATTTCCAACTACAGTTCAGGCCGCCGGGAGATAAAGGGGAGATTTGGGGAGGGGGAGGGAGGGAGGGGGGGGGGAGGGAAGGGAAATGATTTGCCTTCTCCGCTCTTTTAATTGGGAGGACTCGGTTCCTTTTTCTGGGAATGCAACTCTTAAGTGGGTTTTGTGCTCTTTCGTGAGGGGTTTGCTTCCTAGTAGTAGGGAAGGGCAGCCTGACCCCCATTGTTAGCCTTTGGGCGCTGGGCGGTGGGGTGGGGGGTTGCGGAGTCTTCGGGGGTGGGGGGCTTATAAGCTGCTGTTGGTTGGGCGCCATCATCCCTGGAGATTGAGGCCATCGTCCCCTCCACCTTCCTCCCTTCTTTTCTTTCCCCTCCCTCTTTTCCTTCCTTCTTTCTTCCCCTCCTTCCTTCCCTCTTTTCCTTCCTTCCTTCCTTGCTTGCTTGCTTGCTTCCTTTCCTCCCTCTTTTCCTCCCTTCCTTCCCTCCTTCCCTCTTTTCCTTCCTTGCTTCCTTCCTTCCCCCTCCTTTTTTCCTTCCTTCTTTCCTCCTTCCTTCTTTTCTTCCTTCCCTCTCTCTTTTCCTTCCTTCCGTCCCTCCCTCCCTATCTCCTTCCTTCTTTTCTTCCTTCCCTCTCTTTTCCTTCCTTCCATCCCTCCCTCCCTCTCCTTCCTTCTTTTCTTCCTTCCTTCCCTTTCTCTTTTCCTTCCTTCCTTCCCTTCCTCCCTCTCTCCTTCCTTCTTTCCTTTCTTCCTCCCTCCCTCCCTCTCTCAAATCCTTCCTTCCAAATAAGAGAGTTACAGGTTGTCCTCAACCCCTCACCTCCCTCCCTTCCCTCCCTCCTTCCTTCCTTCCCTTCCTCCTCCCTTCCTTCTTTCTTTCTTTCTTTCTTTCTTTCCTTCCTTCCTTCCCTCCCTCCCTCTTTTCCTTTCTTCCTCCCTCCCTCTCTCCCTCCTTCCTTCCTTCCCTCCCTCCTCCCTTCCTCCCTCAAAAGAAGAGGGGAACAATTCCTGATCAAAGCCTGTTTCGTGGGATTCATTACAGCATCCTTTTTAAATTGGAACACAAAGAGAAAGGTTGGTGTGGAAATCCCATTATGATGGCTTGAGAAAATGGGAAATTAGGGATGGGGTACCACACTGGGAGAAATCCACGAAATGACATCCCAAGAGGAGAGACTCTCTGTAGCTCAAGGGTTGCGTGGTGGCGTCCCGGAGTCGTTTGCTCAAATATGTTTCATTACCCAACTAGATGGTATCTCCAGTGCTCATCGCGTTACCTGGTGAGGTAATGAAACATCTGCAAGTAAACAAGCCAGCTCAGATATGACATAGTAGGATTGTAGGATTGGAGCTGTGCTTATCTGAAGTTGCTGGGCCTTTAAATCTTACCAAGGGTCAGATTGGGACAATCTTCTTTTGTTCTCTGATAACTTAGCCTATCTCATGGGGTGGCTGTAAAGATTAGAGGAGGGAAAGGAAAAAGAAAAGAAAAGAAAACCAGTGACGTGCTTTTGAGTTTCAGATGGCCGGATAATTTTATTTTATTTTTCTATTGTAACCTTGTTTTATCAGCAAAGCAATGGTATGGAGTAATATTTCCCAGCGTTGTGAATTCTGCTCATTTTGTAACTCAGAATAATAGATGTGCGAGAGAGATGGATATCGGCTTTTTAGGATAAATCTGGAATTTTGCAAACAATAAAGGGATGGCTGAGGAAGACTGAAAGTTATTCCAAAGGACCTGATCCGCTGCTCAGCTAAGATGACTTAACCTTAATCAGTGGACAGAACAGGTTCAAAACTAGAACAGGCTGAAATTTCTTTTCATTGGCTCTTCCTTTTTAATATTTTCTCCACTGGTCCATCAGGACCCATGCCACGTTTTTTTCCCTTGAGAAGAGTAGTCAATGATGACCAGAAGGAGCAGACTCATATTCTCATATTCCAATTATTCCTCACCAAGCTGAGATAATACGGGTCTTCTGTTCTGATTGATGCTGTTTCCACGCTGCCCGGCTAAATCTCCTGAGACCCAATTACATCTCGGTCCACAATCCAGGAGCACGGCAAAACATCGAAAGCGATTAAAAATTACGCTTGAGCACAGGTAGCCCTCAACTTATTCTATTCTATTCTATTCTATTCTGTATTTTACTATTCTATTCTATTCTATTCTATTCTATTCTGTATTTTACTATTCTATTCTATTCTGTATTTTACTATTCTATTCTATTCTGTATTTTACTATTCTATTCTATTCTGTATTTTACTATTCTATTCTATTCTATTCTGTATTTTACTATTCTATTCTATTCTGTATTTTACTATTCTATTCTATTCTATTTTATTCTGTATTTTACTATTCTATTCTATTCTATTCTACTCTACTCTGCATTCTATTCTATTCTACTCTACTCTACTCTACTCTGCATTCTATTCTATTCTATTCTATTCTATTCTATTCTATTCTATTCCATATTCTATTCTACTCTGCTATTCTATTCTATTCTATTCTATTCTATTCTATTCTATTCTATTCTATTCCATATTCTATTCTACTCTGCTATTCTATTCTATTCTATTCTATTCTATTCTATTCTCCCGAATAAACCCAAACCAAACAGCTGATTCCTTTTTTTTTTTTTGAAAGTTTATTTAACTCTTGGGCCTGGACTTCACAGAAATTTGCTTGGGAAATGGAACTGACCCTGACCAAAATTTATAGCTCCTTCACAGTGGGAGCTCAGCCATCCTTGAAGTGACCTAACACTGGTCCTCAATTAACACAACAATGGTTGATTGACTCTACAAGACAGATGAAGTCTCTAGTCATCCGTGTGCCTTTAAAAAAAAAAAAAAAGACCATGGAGCTTTGCATGAAGTAGGGAAAAAAATGACAGAATGAGGATTGAAGCCGGCAAACGACGGGCAGAATTTGGGCAGAACCTTGTGAGAAAGTCTAAGGGGAAACCTAGGTTTGTATTCAGAAGCCACAATCAGCTTTCGGCTACAATCTCCAGCTGAGGGCCTGGTAACTGGGTGACAATATCCACAGGTTTTGCAAAAAAAACAAACAGATGCATCTGGAACCTGGAAAACAACCAAAGCTGTTCCATCTGGATGAGGGCACCAAGGAAGACCTGGAATAAACTGGCATGACAAAAAAAATAAGCCTTGGTGATAAGGGCAAGAGAAGGAGCTGAATGAAAAAAGACATGATTATTTTTAAAACCCGGAAGTGGTTGCCGGGGCAACCAGCATCTCTTGAAGCAAACGGTAGGATAATGGCAGAACTCGCAAGGTGCTGGGAGGGGGAAAGGTGGGAGAGGTCAGAGGTCATTTCCAGGTGGACAAGCGTAATCGCCTGGCTGTCCCTTAGGAGTAATAACCTCACCTTCCAATGTTCAATAAACTTAGTAGCCAGCTTTTTTTTTTAGGGAGGGGGGAGCAACTTCCTTCAGCCTCAAGGCCAAGGAGTCAAGCCAATGTCCCCTTTTCCAGATAGGTGGGCTAAAGTTCCCTCCCTCCATTCTCAGGCATCATGGTGTGTCGGAGCGTGCACAGTCTTATTGCGCGGGATAACCCAGGAGTAAACACAGTAAACAGTGGCTTATATTAAATGGTGGTTTATATTACCCTATTTACAATATCATACATCAGGAACAATATACATACATGGGTTAATACAGCAGGATCCAACACACAGCAGTTACAGCAGGAAAACAGAAGAGAGAAAACACAGCGGTGGAGCCTTCCCTTTTATACAAAAGCTCTTAAAGGGACACAGACTCTGCTGAGTCATTCCCATCTTTACATCATACATCTCACATTATGCAAGCTGGTTAGCTGTTAAATTATTACCTTGACATGGTGTACTTAATTGTCCCAATCAATTTTGCACTGGGCACCAAGTGAGTTTTGCCTCCTTTTACGACCTTTCCTGCCTCAGTTATTAAGTGAAATCGCTGCAGTTGTTCATTTAGTAAGATGGCTGTTAAATGAATCCGGTTCCCCCCCCCCCCATGGATTTTGCTTGTCAGAAGGTCACAAAAGAGGATCGCGTGACCATGGGACATGGCAACCGTCATCAATGTGAGTCACTTGCCAAGTATCTAAATTTTGATCACATGACCAGGGGAATGCTGCAATGGTCATAAGTGTGAAAAATGGTCCTAAAGTCACTTTTTTCAGTGCCTTCAAACGGTCACTAAATGAACTGTTGTAAGTCGAGGTCCATTCTACAAATGGAAATGGGATTTTTTTTTCTTAGTCCAGTTTTATACTAGTGGCTGTTATTATCTGGATGCATGGAAGGACTAAAGCTATTTATCTTATTACATTTATAAGCAGCCCATCTCACTATCAAAGGTGACTCTGATGCTACCTCATCTGGCAAAAGGAAAGTAGAATATAAATACAATAAAATCCACGCATCGACGATTGATCGTAAAGAGAGGGACAGAGAGCACAAATCTTTCCCTGGGATTTATAAAGGTTAAAAATTAGTACATCAGGGAAAGAGGGTTTTTATTTTTACAGCTTCCTCCTATGCTGATCCAAGAATAAAATAGTTGCAATTAATTTAGTGAAAAACAGCTAAATTTGCCAGATGGGGGTTTATTAACACCTGGAGCTGCAAAAGCTGAAGGAAATACACCTTCGTCATTCCTTATTACCAGGGCTTGGGGGGGGGGGAAATCATAAACCAAGTTTCTTTGGTATTCTTAAGAAACGTTCTCGAGGAGAAAACATTTTAGAGCCATATTCTTCGAGACGTTCACCACAGATGTTGCAAAAACCCAGGAAGCTTGCTTGCTTACATTCTCAGTGCCAACTCCATATACAAACGCTAAAATCTGCCTGCTATCCTATTTACTGATTCATGAGATTTACAGTGTGTTTCGCACACACGCCTCTGCGTCACCACAATTCGGCACAACTCTGGGCAGCTTACAAAATGCAACTATAAAAACGTATTAAAACCACAGAATAGGGCCTGGAGGGGAAAAAAAAAATCAACCCTTGGTTAAAGGACCGGATTTAGCACTAGGTGGGAATACAACTTTTTGGAAAGTCGTTTGCTGTTTTTCTGTGTCGGTGAGGACAAAAGAGAGGATTAAGTTAGATTCAACAGATCTAAATAAATAAACAAACAATCCAATCTAGGATTTTGAATCCTGAATTGTTGCCAGCTTCCAAAGTTTAGCTGCTTCTTTGTGAATGCAAGACTCCAGCTGTTATCTTCTTCTGAAGATATACTTTCTCTACCAAAATACTAGGCTGGACTTCACATCTCTAGTTATAAACCATTTTATTTAATTATTGCCTCTGCCCTCTGGTGTCAATTGCCAGAACTGCAGTCCGTAAGGAGCATCTCCAAAGGCGCGTATTTGAGGTTGGTCAACTCAACGATAGAGTAACCGCGAAGCTCTTAAAAAGATATCTAAATGCTGTGATGTGCCTATAGCTACCAAGATCTCAACTGTGTAAGCCATTGTATGTTTTTTTGATAGTCTAGGGAAGCAAAAGTTGGACTTTGAAGAAGCAAGATAAGAAGAGTATTGACGCCTTTGATCTTTGGTGATTGGAGAAGGTTCTTGAGATGATCATGGACAGCCAAAAAAACAACCCGTGGATCATCGAATTTAAAATTCCCGCTCAAGATACAAATGACCAGGCTCAAACTATCTTCCTTTGGATATATTATGGGAAGACCCAGGTCTCTGGAGAAGGCTGTGATGATGGGAAAACTGGAAGAGGACAACCAACTGCAAGATGGAGGAACTCAGTGACATTGGGACCCCTGTTGGAAGATCAGGTTAGATCCTTCTGCCTGCTATGTCCAACAGGTCCCTTGCCCATGAGATAGAGGTGATTTTTCAGCACCAAAAAACAGATGCCATCCAGGTCAAATGTGTTTAGAAATGTGGCTTTACAAAGCCGTCTCTGTGTCCAGGGAATCAAGCTGGCCGATGAAGGAGAACCAAAGACTAGGAAATTAATACGCCCTTTGTGTTTCTGTACACACACACACAAACTCACACACACACACACACAAACACACCACAAATCTCTTGATTCAATTTTCTGGCTGTTTCATTTCCCTTCTCTTCCACCACCATCTGTTGTCCTTCATGCAAACCAATCTTGGCATCCTCAGAATAGGCTCAGAGTAAGCAAATCTCTTCGGCTTTATCGGCTAATGGAGACAGCTCTAATTGGAGCCAAAAGAAGACCTCCTGGCTGGTCTGGCCCTTTTGCTAATCTAACTAATGAGAAAATGAGCTTAGAAATGGCCTTAGGGGACAACATTATTTCCTAGCACCCTTGATTTTGTCTAGGGGGAAAAAATGCATCATCTTTATCGCAGAAATGAAATGTTCCACCGTAGTTGGGTTAAAATGAACCCCTTCGAATATTGCTTCTCCTGTGAAATTGCAAGGGGAGTAAAATGAGGAATTATTATACAGGCTGAACTGGGAGCTTTTTTCCTCCATTTTATTTAATTTTATTTTCCAAAAAACATTAATGGTTCCCTTTATTCATTGGCATGATCTGGCGTTGCCTTGCACTCCTTTTCCTAAGCTAGCAAATAAATCAGGTTTTCGCTTTTTAAATTTTATTTTTTTGGGGGGGGGGGCTCTGCTTTTAAATTATTTAGCCATTTCTAACTATGTATTCCTAACAGGCACCAGTGCTCTAATTATCTTTATCATTGCTTTTTGGCATTTTTTTTTTTTTTTTGCTTCGTTTGGGGAACCCTCATTTTTCACCGCAAAAGCAGCCTGCAGGCAGAAAGCAGAACCGCGCCTGCGCACACATACACCCAGACCGGGGGGGGGGGAAGAATCCAGGTCGGCGGCTCTCAAGAGCCAGTGCGCAGGCGCCTCGCTGTTCCTCCCGGGACTCCCGTCTCCCTCCAGCGCGCCTGCGCGAGGGGCGAAGAGGCCGCTGGGAAAAGGAGGGGCGGGATGGCGCACGCGCGCACAGGCTTCGGCCGCTACAGCCGAGCGTAAACAAGGCGGCCGCTGAGAAGGCGATGAGGAGACGGCCGGAGAAGATGAGCCGGGCCGGGCGCCTCCGAGGCTGAGCCTCGCCGTCCTTCTTGCGCTCCCGCCGGCCAAGGACGCGCACACCAGGCCGCCATGAACTTAGCCAGCCAGAGCGGCGAGGCCGGCTCCGGCCAACTGCTCTTCGCCAACTTCAACCAGGACAACACGTAAGGGGCGGGGAGGGGGGGCGTGGCCAGAGGGAGCGCGCACGCGCGTGCCCGCCGCGGGTAGGGTGGGGTGGGGGGGGGGCGAGAGGCAGGAGCCAAGATTCGAAAGCAGGTGGGGGCGAGGAGGAGGAGGAGGAGGGGGCGTGGCCAAGATGCCCTTCTCCCACCTGGCTTCCTACTTCTCCCCCCCCCCAAACTGGTTGTGGATTATGGGCCTTGGGAAGGGGGAAAAAAGACTGCCCCACTTGGGTTCCACCCCAGCAGCGCATCCCAGAAAGGGTGAGGGGGAGAGGGGGCACCCAGAGGCCATCTAGCCCAGCCATTATCATTGCCATTGGGCAGGGGAAGCCCATTGAGTCATCCTGGAAGGGAGGCAGTCCAACCTTCTCCTTGGAGGGACGCCAGAGGGGCAGGACACCCCCCCTCCCCAAATCTCCATGGGGAGACGGTTGTCCATTGGGTTGGGTGGGTTTCATAAAGGGGGGAGGGGAGGGAAATAGAAGGTTAATCAAGATGGGGGGAGATTTGCCTATCAGGGGAGACTGGCCTGATTTTTCCCCCCTTTCTCCCCCCCCGTGGGACCTATTTAAAAAGTAAATCGGGGTGCAGGATTGGTGGCTCCTGTGAAAGAACTACTTTAAAAAAGCAAATTAGGGTACAGGATTATTAGTGGCTGGCGGGAAAATGTGCACCTTTGCGTTGAGAAAAACTCTTGAAAAGATTTCATGCTTTGCAACACCTGCACTGAAATTGAGGCTTCATTCATTTGGTTCTTGTTTCCTCCACTTGATGCGGTAATTTGGGGAGGTAGCCTTGTTTTCTCCTTGTTTTATTGTTGTTTTTTTTACTCTAGCATGGTGTATGTGGCTTAGAGTTGCACGAACAGATCAATGACATGGAAAACGTTAGCCTGGTTTGATTTGGTTGCTGAGTCTCTCGGTCGTGTCTCACTCTCCGTGGCCCCATGGACCAGAGCATGCCAGCCCCTCCCCTGTCCTGTACTGTCTCCCGGAATTGCCCAAATTCATGTTTATTGTGTGTTGATGACACTATCCAATCCTCTGCCGTCTCCTTCTCCTGTCGCCTTCCACCTTTGCCAACATCAGGGTCCTTTCCGAAGAGTCTGTCTCTTCTCGTTTGGTGGCCAAAGGATTGGAGCATCAGCTTTAGGATCTGTCCTTCCAAAGGACAGTCGGGGTTGATATAGAAGAATCTAAAAACCAAAAGTTTAAGCAATTTGCAGTTAGATTTGTGGCTGATTCAGCTCTGGCCAGGCTTTCTCGGTGGTAGCCCCTATTTTATGGAGTTCTCTTTTCCTGGAATTATGGATGGCCCCTGTTGGCTGGGGAATTCTGGGACTCGAAGTCATCGTGAAGCCGCTAAGGTTGGGAAACAGTGTCCCAGAGTGCTCAGCAGTGGCTGAGGCATTCTGGGAGTTGAAGTCCACCCGTCTTTACAAGTTGCCACGGTTGTGGAACGTTGCTTTAGGGAAGCACATTCTGACAGCTCACTCAAGTCAGATATTTCTGTCTTTGCAGTGATGAAAAAACGCTTGCAGTTTCTCAAGTCCATCTAAAAAGGCTCGGATAATAAAAATGAAAAAAAAAAAAACAATTCCTGACTTATCTAAATGTCTGGAGATTCTCAATCATCCAGGTCGTGCTTGTGCCAAAGGCGTTTTTCAAAAGGCAAATGAACTTTTTGTATTCTCCTCGAATACGTTTTGCTTCTCATTCAAGGAGCTTCTTCAGTTATAAACAGAAGTATCTTGGATAATTTTTCAAAGAAAAAAACAAATAAAACCCTGTCCCCTTTTGAAAAGCACCCTTGGGACCATTCCTGACTTCCCGTAGCTAGTTAAGAGTGCTGACTCTTTCCTCTTAAGATTTTACCTTCTCATAAAACAGCTTTTATAATTCTAATAAAAACCAACAACTCTTAAGTTAAGAATGTTGAAGTGGAGGGGCAGGGCAGGGGAGGGGAGCCAATATTTTCCCCCTGTTGTCACAGTCTGCTTTCACATGATTCTTTCATAACATAACAGTTAAGACAGCAACCGTAACGTCTCAAGTTTCTGTTTGTTTCTCTTGAATGTGAGCAAATGGGCTCCAGGAAAGCCAGGTCAGATTTTTTTTTCTGTGTGGTTCACTTGGGAGGAAAAACTCTTAAGCTGCTTTGGCTGTTCCCGTCTCCTCTTCTGTGGCGGCTTGTTCCCTTCGCTCCGACGGTGGTTACTTGTGTTGTATGTGTACATTTGCGAGTTGGCAGGAGAGCCTAGAACCGAAATGCTGCAGAAGCCTCCTCTCTTGAATGCAAAGTGGGTTTAATTCTTTTGCAAAGAAAGGAAGGCCCAACTTGGGCGCTTTGAAACTAGCTAGCTTTGCAAGAGAGGGGTCAGCATGGTAATGAATGGCTACTTAAGAGAGGATGACCCGCCCAGAAGTTGGATGACAGGAAGTGATTAAACTTGGGGGTTGAGCTGCTGGCAGAATTGGGTTTGTCTGTAGGCCGGATGAGCAAAGAAGGAACGCGCCGGTTCACTTTCCTGGATCCTCACCGACTAATTCCACACACTCAGCAGTTCTTGCTTCCCTTGCCCCAACAGGTAAATCCTCGATTTGCACAACTGAAGTGGGGGAAGATTTAATAATCCTCGAATTGCGAATGAGACGCTATTACAGGCCGTGCCCGACTTAAATGTTTAGCAACCGTTCGGAGTTCCGTTGGCCCTGAAAAAGTGAGGTCACCAGTCCTCACACAACCGTTGCAGCATCCCCACGATCACGTGATCAGAATTCAGAAGCTTGGCAACTGGCGTGTACTTACGACGGTTGCAGCCTCCCAGGGTCCTGTGATCACCATTTGCAAACTTCCCAGCCAGCTTCTGACAAGCAAAGTCAAATGAGGGGAAACTGGATTCGTTTAATAACCAAGCGATTCACTTAACAGCTACTTAGGATTCTCTTAATAACCCTGGCCCAAAAAAAAAGGTTATAAAATCAGGCGCCACTCGCTGGATAACCAGCTTGCTTAGCAACAGAAATTCTGGTCCATAATTTTCGTCGTACGTCGAGGACCGTCTGAGCTGGTAGATCTGAACACATTTCCCTTGGAGGAGATTTGGATGCTGTTGTTAAATTAAGGTGGCTTTTCCTAACCAGTTATATCTTCTGAGATCTGGCTGTAATTTCCATATTCCACAATATTGCAATATTAGCTGTAATCAGGACGAGAGTTGTTTGCCAAATAGCATTTGGTAGGCCTCCATGGTTACTAAGAATAAGGTTGCTGTAATTGTTGTTGTTTTTTTACAGGCTTGGTTATTATTAGTTTTTGTCCTTTAAAATGGGACCTTTGATTTTTTTTAATTGAAGCATTTAAATCCGTGCTTTTCATCCTCCAAAGTCAGGGCATTGCAACCTGATTGGCTGTGGGCAGAGTTAGTTTGAACTGGGGAGTCCGTGGTGCTCTCTCAGCATGCAGACATTTCATGACCCAACTAGGTAACATCATCAGGGCAAAACCCCACTCCCTTCTATAGCACCGATGGTGTTACCTAATTGGGTCACAAAACGTCTGCACGCTCAGAGGGCACCACAGACTTCCCAGTTTAACCCAGAGCTATTCTCTTCTGTCGAAACCCATGACTCTCCCAGCACGAGGGTCTTCTAAGGCAGACCCACTCCCATCAAGACTAATAGCCATTGATTCCCCGATTTCTGTCAATTCACACAACCCTTATTTGAAGTCAGCGATGCCGGTGACCAGCCTTATTTTCCATAGTAACAAGTTCCAAATTTCCCCTCATTTTTCTGACTGCTTATATTATGAGATTCTTATTAAAAGAAAAAGAGTCCGACAAAAACCCTTGTTTCGTGACCTCCAATCAGGTCTGTGGAGTCGGAGTCGAGGAGTCGGAGTCGGAGGAAATTTTGGGTACCTGGAGTCGGAGTCGGAGTCGGCAAACAATGCACCGACTCCGACTCCTACTAAATTTAGATTGGAATTTAAAAAAAAGCAAGTTTAAATGTCCCAATTCACAAAAAGTTATAATTAATGACTTCTTTACTGTAAAGAATAAAGACCAATGCATGCAGTGCCTCACGTAACCGCAAAACGAACACGTTAAGTGACCGTGAAGAAGCATGCTTTTCATGTGCTTCACTATATGGCACGCAACGCACAATTAGGAGCGGCAATACTTATACATTCCATAGTGTTGTGTTCTGCTGTTACAGGGAACGCAGCGCCCATGGGTAACCTAGCCTCTCACTGATAAGGGATTAAGTAAATATGTTTTTTGCAGGACTAGAGACACTTGTATAAGTGAAGGGAATGGAGGGTCATATTAATACAGAGGAGTCGGAGTCGAAAGTACAAAAAACTGAGGAGTCGGAGTACCGACTCCACAGCCCTGCCTCCAATGTACCCCAAAAGGCAGCTTTGACTGTGGTGGAAGTTGTTGCATTCCCCCCCCCCTTTAAAGGGCAGTAAAACAATAGATCATTCTGCTGAATATTTCTCATTGCCAGATGACAGGATTATCTTTAATCCATTTTGCTCTCCATAACACCGAGTCTTTTTTTTTTTCCCTCCCTTTCTTTTTTTTTTTCCTTAAATCATTAGCAAGAAGAGAACATGCCGTGAGTTCTGCTTTGTTTTAGAGTCTTGTTAAAATTGATAGTGACTTATAAATAACGGCTAGTATAAACTCTATAAATAATATCGAAACCACTAGATTAAAAAAAAATACTGACTTTCCCTTTGGGGCGCATTATGGAGAAGCGTTTTAGTTTTCTGCCCGAGTTGTACTTTCGAAAAAGAAAATGAATTGTCGCGCAATTCGTCACGGTGCTGAGATACAAATGAGGTTGTTTTTTTTTTTATAATCAATAGCTATTTCTCTCTTGAGGATAACCAGCCTTAGCAATAAACCAGGAGATTTTGTGCTGTCTCTCTCTCCTTCCCCGGCCTTCTCAAATAGAAGAATTGTGCTTGGGAGACAGGGCTGCAGAGAGTAGACAAAATATTATCTAGCTCGGCGCAAACAATTCAACCCAAATGCAAACACAATACAGTGTGGGTATCAACTTAGGGCCACAATGGAGCCTGCCCATCACAGTGGCAAATAGTGGTGGTCTTATATTGACTTGGCCGTGCTCCTATTTTTAATGACCTTTTTTTTTTGCAGGGTTAATGAAGTAAATCTCCGCAGCCATTAAGCGAACTAATTATTCCCTATGATTGCAGATTTGCTCCCTCCCCCCCCCCAAAAAAACCCCCAACAAACCAATAAGAGTTCATTTTCAGTAAAGCGTGGTCACGGAACGACGAGACTGTAAGGACCCACCTCAGCTAACCAGAACTCTTGAAACAGGCATCGTCTCAAAAGGAAACTTTTATTAGGGGTTATGACAGTAAGGGAGTCAAGGCGAGATCTGGGGAAAATCCCGCGCAAACAGTACAGTTAAAAGCAATATTCCTCCTCCCACCAGAGTCATAATGTCCGTTTGAAATCCAGCCAATCCACGGGTGGCAACGACATGCGGTCTCAAGATCTTCTCCAGCTTTCCTTTCTCTGCAACCGTCTCCCTGATAAGGGAGACACGTTCCTTTCTCAAGGGGGGAGAGGTGGACGGAGGAAAGCAGAAAGCAAAAGTCATCCCAAGCAAAAGCAAATATCTCCCCTCCCCCCCCAGCAAACTGGCAGGCCCCAAAGCAAAGTACAAGAATAAGGTTATAAATGCAGCCGTGTTGTTGAGGTCCCGGAGTTTGGTCACGTGACTGCAAAGGGGGGGGGGCAATAATCAGAATTTCAAATCCAGATCGTCAATAGCCCCCAGGTAGGTCTGCTAGAACTTCCAACGGCTGCTAAGCAACGTAACTCGAGGACTGCAGCTCTGTTTTCAACTGCCCCTGCTTGCCACCAGCTCAGTTTATTGATCTGTCGCTGGCTTTTGTGGGGTGTGCAAGAGACAAAAAGGCTGACCACTGGATTTTGCAAAAGGGAGGGCATTTGAGGGTCTTGGGAGAAATCTTAGGAGTCCGGCATGCTTCGTAGAAAATAAATGTACATTTAAAAAATCGGTATCCTTGTTTGATCTGTTGCTTATTTTTTCAGCTCCTTGGCTGTTGGCAGCGTGCTGGGCTACAAATTCTTCTCCCTCTCTTCTGTGGATAAACTGGAGCAGATCTATGAGTGCAGTAAGTGTTCCTCGGTCTTCTTTTCCCCTTCGGGGTCTCCCTTTTCCTAAATTACGGCTGCAGACTAAGGCGGGATTCCTCAGCCTTCTCAACGTTAGGATGTAAGTCGCTTTTTTCAGTGCCACTGTAACTTTTGAGTCACTAAATGAATGGTTGTTAAGCCGAGGACTACGTCTCTAACGGGAGCATTCCAGTTTCCAATATGGGGAGGTTTCTGTGAAATCGTAGCAGCTTCACGTGGCCTTGGGTCATAGACTACTCACAAGTGAAGGCGAAGATAACCTTGCAGGATCCAATCTGGGTCAGTCTTGTCTTCCGAGCTTTCATGCTAAAAGGGAACTTCCCCTCTCTCCAGGATGTGTGCCTTGGGCTATTCTGTGTGCAGCATTTATATGCTGCCTGTTGTGTGTGGCTTTTTCGTTGCTGATTGGGGTGTTGATGGCTGGCTATTCAATCGTTGGTTGTTGACATACATTCAGTTTTGCAGTTACTAAGATTGTTGGATGAGCAGGCTCAAAAACAGCCAGGGAAATTTACCCCCAGCTTACCAAGTACCTAGGAGGCAAGGACTTGGCAGCACCAGGAAACAACAACCAAGGATTTAACTGCCAGCCATCAACACCCCAATCAACATCTAAAAAGCCGCACACAACAGGCACCATATAAATAACCATACTTAGAACAGCCCAAAACACACACACTGCTAGAGAGAGGTTCCCTGAGGACGGGCCCCAGCACGAGACCAAAAGCTTGGAAGACTGGTCCTCTGGTCCCGGTGACCGATCCGGATTGGATCCTGCATGCACTTACTCGCTTGGAGCGTCCAACTTCCTGAATTTCTCTGACTAGCTCAGAGAGCCGAACGTCGTCTCCCGGTCGGATGGACTCCTGAATCAGAACCACTAAAGAACCACTTAACTTCCTGGCCATTTTCCTAGTTGGCCAACACCGGCTGCGACGCCCTTTGATAATGTTAAGATTTATATTAATAGCTCCGTCCAGGAAGCCTCACCGGCCGCCTGAAATGTGTTTAGCCGCACCGATTTTTCGTTGCTTTTTATTTACAGCTCTCCAAGCGCCAGCGAGTGGAGGACTTTAACCCCTCTTGTTCTTTCGCCTTCTCCCACTTAACAGCTTCGCGCTGAAATATGGCAGGCTATTTATAGCCAGCTGTGCTAGGAAAATGGCAACCTATTGATCCACCAGGGAGAGACAGTCTCTGGCTGTCGCAGTCGTTTAATTGACTGCCTCCATGTTCCAGTTCACTTGGAAATGGTCTGTCTCTCAGACCCACGTACCTCTGCCCTTGTTTTTTTTAAAAAAAAAATCTGCCTACTGCTAAAACTCTCACGTCTGTTTGTAACTTTTAGTGGGGTGACACAGTGGATTGTAGGGCAACAGTCATTGAATCAACCCACCCCAAGTGGGCGAACTTAAAAGAATGTGTCCTAAATCCGGGAGCCATGAAATTCAACAGCATTATAGCTGCTTCAATGCTGACGCAGTCCTGTGGTGGTTATTTCCAACATTGCCGGTCAGCTTCCTACCAGGAAATTCAATGGGGAAGCCAGCAGGAAGTCAAAAGTTATTCTTGTTGCTTTTCTGCCTGCCCATGCTCGTTCTATTTCTCTGTTTAGTAAGGAAGTATCTCTGAATGCTTTGCAGGAATTGGGTATGGCTAGTCTAGTGAAAAGAAGCACCAGGGGTGACATGATAGTAGTCTTCCAGTATCTGAGGGGCTGCCCCGAAGAAGAGGGGGTCAGGTTATTCACCAAAGCACCAGAGGGCAGGACGAGAAACAATGGTTGGAAACTGATCAAAGAGAGAAGCAACCTGGAATTAAGGAGAAACTTCCTGGCAGTGAGGACAATCAACCAGTGGAACAGCTTGCCTCCAGAAATCGTGGGCGCTCCATCACTGGAGGTTTTTAAGAAGAGGCTAGACAGACACTTGTCTGAGATGGTAAAGGTTCTCCTGCTTGAGCAGGGGGCTGCACTAGAATCCCTTCCAGCTCTATTCTATAATAAACCCCACAGGCCACAGGTTGTCTAGTAAAGTAATAGGAACTGTAGATGCCCAATGTTCTAGCCAGACAACCTTCTAGAGACCTCTTAGACAGTTTCTTGGGGGTGTGTAAGTCTCATGAAATCTGTCCTCCCCTGCATCTGCAGTTAACCCAGTTGGTTCTTCTGTTTCGTGTCACCCCCGTTCCCTTTCCACCCTCACCCTGCAGCTGACACAGAAGACGTGTGCATTGTGGAACGGCTCTTTTCCAGCAGCCTGGTAGCCATCGTGAGCCTCCGAGCGCCTCGCAAGCTGAAAGTCTGCCACTTCAAGAAAGGGACGGAGATCTGCAACTACAGCTATTCCAACACAATCTTGGCCGTCAAGCTGAACAGGCAGGTGAGTGGGGGCCCACTCAGGTGAGCTTCTGCTAGTTTTCTAAGAGCCCTGGTGGCGCAGTGGTTCGAAGGCAGCTTTGCAGGCTAACTCTGCCCACCGCCAGGAGTTCGATCTTGACCAGCTCAAGGTTGACTCAGCGGTATACAGGTAGCCCTCGACTTACAACAGTTCATTTAGAGACCGAAATTACAACGGCACTGAGAAATGCGAGTTATGGCCATTTTTCACACTTAGGACCGTTGCCCCATTCCCCGCGGTCAGGTGATCAAAATTCAGACGCTTGGCCACTGACTCCTATTTACGACGGTCGCAGCGCCCCAGGATCACGTGATCCCCTTTTGCGACCTCCTGACAAGCAAAGCCAATGGGGGAAGCCAGATTCACTTAACCACCGGGTTACCAATTTAACCCCTGCAGTGATTCCTTTAACAGCTGTGGCCAGAAAAGTCGTAAAACGGGACAAAACTCACTTCACAGATTTCTCAGCAACATAAATGTTGGGCTCAATTGTAGTCATACATCGAGGACTATCTGTAGAAGTCTTAACTGCTATTGCTATCTGCTTCTCTCCTTTTTTTTATTCCCTTCCCCCCCCCCCCAGAGATTGATCGTTTGCCTAGAAGAGTCTCTGTACATACATAATATACGGGATATGAAGGTGCTTCACACCATCAGGGAGACGCCCCCCAATCCTGCAGGTAAAGATGCTCCTTACTCTCCTTTGATCCTCCTCTGATACCTTTCCACTCCCCCATTTTAGCTGGTTACTTCCAAAACCATATAGTGGGTTTGTTCATCTAAGGCAGGGGTAGGCAACCTTGGCTCTTTTATGACACGTGGACTTCAACTCCCATAAGGAATTCTGGGAGTTGAAGTCCACGAGTCATAAAAGAGCCAAGGTTGCCTACCCCTGATCTAAGGGATGTTAGTGTCAGGCACGAAAGACCTGGACCAGATGTGAAACTGCATTTAAACTGATTTGTTTCTACCTAGTTGTGTAGGTTGAATGTCATTAACCTTGACCTAGTTGTGTACACAACTAGGTCAAGGTTAATGACATTCAAGAAAGCTTGGTCTTACTCTTTTGCAGCTACGTGGATTCTCTAGGCTGATTCCTCTTTTGACTCCACCCCCAGATTCTACAATGCTGTCTCCTACAGTTAGTTGAGCTTATCTGAGGTTTTTGACATCACCCAGATTGGGAAGTTGTGATGCACACACACACACAACCAGGCTCCTGGGGCCCGAAGGAAGGACTTGATCAGATTGAGACAGTTTCCTTCTGCATTTGCTTGGCACAACATTCAAATTGGCACCTTGTCCCCCCCCCCCTTTTTTTTTTTTGGTCAAAAACCAAGAGCCAGTTAGAACTAATTCTTGCTGAATGACTTGCTTAATGACCGTTCAAAGTTACAGCTGACTCCAAAGAAGGTACTTATGACCCACCTTTGAAGTTACCACTCACATGCACACACGACATCACATTTTTGGCAAAGCGAGTGCAGAAAAGAAAAATAACGTAACAAATAAGAAATATAAAGAAATAGCTTCCCTCTTCGCCTCAATAAATATAAACCTTTTTAACAACTTATCACTTTCTTTTAAAATACAACAAACCACCTCTTAACCGTCCCACGTGGTCTGTCCGTAGACATAACCTTAAAATCATGCGATTCAGTCCTGGTTAGCAAAAATCCATTAAGGGTTGATAATATTATTGTTGTAATTAATCTTGATCCTTTCATGGCCGTTTTGGAAAGGAGAGAGTCCTGTTGTGCCGTTTCCTCTCTGTTTTTCTTAGGCTTATGTTCCCTGTCCATAAACAACGATAACTGTTACCTGGCCTATCCAGGGAGCGCGACCATCGGTGAAGTCCAAGTGTTTGACACTATCAACCTGGTAAGATCCTGCAGGCTTCCGCCATGCTCTGACTCTGAAAATTAGGGGCTTCTTGGGTGGGTGGGAGGGCAGGAGCCGCCGTTCTGCCCTAAGTGTCACGATTCCGACAGATGAAACTCTTCAAAAGAACTTCGAGGCATTGTTTATTTAAAGAATCTTTTATTCGAGTAGCATAACATCGGCACTAGCATAATCGAAGCCAAAAACTGGATTCCCCTCCCCTGGGCACCTAGTACCAAAGCACAATTCCCTCCTCCAATTAATAGTCATAAATCACATTCCTCAATTAGCTTAAAGCGCTGGCTTCCTCTCCAGCCGGCCAATTCTTTACCAGCTCTGGGTTCAATAACCTTGATTCTCACGCTAGGTTTAGTGTTGTTATGTCTAGCTGGACTCTCGTTCACATCCCCCCCCTCCAGCATCATCTAATTCTAAAAGCGAAAGGGGAAAAGTGGGCTACATTTCCATCTGTGGTCAATGCAAAAAAACATCCGATGTTAGCAGCGTTGACACTAAGGTCTTGTGTTCCGTTCTCGTGCTTCCTCACAGAGAGCTACCAACATGATCCCCGCCCACGATAGTCCGTTGGCTGCCCTGGCTTTCGACGCAAGCGGTACGAAGCTAGCCACCGCCTCAGAAAAGGTGAGTTCCTCATCCCCTCCGTGGAAGAAAAAAAAAAAAAGGGGGAAGCTTGAGTTGATCCAGAGAGATTCAAGTGAACCAGACAGGCAGAGAAACCAAGCAGTCACTTTGAGAAGGTGGCTTGGATGGCTTTGAAAGCGGAGGCTTCTTTCTTTCTTTCAACAGGGTACGGTGATCCGGGTATTTTCCATTCCAGAAGGGCAGAAGCTCTTTGAATTCCGAAGGGGGATGAAGAGGTGATGTGTGATTGCCGTCTGAAGATGGTCCTGGGGGGAGATTGAAGGCTGCGTGAACTGTTCTGTCTCCTTCCTTCCCCTTTTCCTTCCTTCCTTCCTTCCTTCCCCTTCCTTCCTTCCTTCCTTCCTTCCTTNTCACGTGATCAGAATTCAGAAGCTTGGCAACTGGCGTGTACTTACGACGGTTGCAGCCTCCCAGGGTCCTGTGATCACCATTTGCAAACTTCCCAGCCAGCTTCTGACAAGCAAAGTCAAATGAGGGGAAACTGGATTCGTTTAATAACCAAGCGATTCACTTAACAGCTACTTAGGATTCTCTTAATAACCCTGGCCCCCCCAAAAAGGTTATAAAATCAGGCGCCACTCGCTGGATAACCAGCTTGCTTAGCAACAGAAATTCTGGTCCATAATTTTCGTCGTACGTCGAGGACCGTCTGAGCTGGTAGATCTGAACACATTTCCCTTGGGGGAGATTTGGACGCTGTTGTTAAATTAAGGTGGCTTTTCCTAACCAGTTATATCTTCTGAGATCTGGCTGTAATTTCCATATTCCACAATATTGCAATATTAGCTTTAATCAGGACGAGGGTTGTTTGCCAAATAGCATTTGGTAGGCCTCCATGATTACTAAGAATAAGGTTGCTGTAATTGTTTTTTTTTTTTTTACAGGCTTGGTTATTATTAGGTTTTGTCCTTTACAATGGGACCTTTGAATTTTTTAGTGAAGTATTTAAGTCCCTGCTTTTCATCCTCCAAAGTCAGGGCATTGCAACCTGATTGGCTGTGGGCAGAGTTAGTTTGAACTGGGGAGTCCGTGGTGCTCTCTCAGCGTGCAGACATTTCATCACCCAACTAGGTAACATCATCAGGGCAAAACCCCACTCCCTTCTGTAGCACCGATGGTGTTACCTAATTGGGTCACAAAACGTCTGCACGCTCAGAGGGCACCACAGACTTCCCAGTTTAACCCAGAGCTATTCTCTTCTGTCGAAACCCATGACTCTCCCAGCACGAGGGTCTTCAGAGGCAGACCCACTCCCATCAAGACTAACAGCCATTGATTCCCCGATTTCTGTCAATTCACACAACCCTTATTTGAAGTCAGCGATGCCGGTGGCCAGCCTTATTTTCCATAGTAACAAGTTCCAAATCTCCCCCTCATTTTTCTGACTGCTTATATTATGAGATCTATTTGATCGTCTTATTAAAATAAAAAGAGTCCGACAGAAACCCTTGTTTCGTGACCTCCAATGTACCCCAAAAGGCAGCTTTGACTGTGGTGGAAGTTGTTGCATTTCCCCCCCCCCCCCCTTCAAAGGGCAGTAAAACAATATATCATTCTGCTGAATATTTCTCATTGCCGGATGACAGGATTATCTTTAATCCATTTTGCTCTCCATAACACCGAGTCTTTTTTTTCCCCTCCCCTTCTTTTTTTTCCCCCCTAAATCATTAGCAAGAAGAGAACATGCCGTGAGTTCTGCTTTGCTTTAGAGTCTTGTTAAAATTGATAGTGACTTATAAATAACGGCTAGTATAAACTCTATAAATAATCTCGAAACCACTAGATTAAAAAAAAAATACTGATTTTCCCTTTGGGGCGCATTATGGAGAAGCGTTTTAGTTTTCTGCCCGAGTTGTACTTTCGAAAAAGAAAATGAATTGTCGCGCGATTCGTCACGGTGCTGAGATACAAATGAGGTTTCTTTTTTTTATAATCAATAGCTATTTCTCTCTTGAGGATAACCAGCCTTCGCAATAAACCAGGAGATCGTGTGCTGTCTCTCTCCTTCCCCGGCCTTCTCAAATAGAAGAATTGTGCTTGGGAGACAGGGCTGCAGAGAGTAGACAAAATATTATCTAGCTCGGCGCAAACAATTCAACCCAAATGCAAACACAATACAGTGTGGGTATCAACTTAGGGCCACAGTGGAGCCTGCCCATCACAATGGCAAATAGTGGTGGTCTTATATTGACTTGGCCGTGGTCCTATTTTTAATGACCTTTTTTTGCAGGGTTAATGAAGTAAATCTCCGCAGCCCTTAAGCGAACTAATTATTCCCTATGATTGCAGATTTGCTCCCTCCCCCCCCCCAAAAAAATACCCCCCAACAAACCAATAAGAGTTCATTTTCAGTAAAGCGTGGTCACGGAACGACGAGACTGTAAGGACCCACCTCAGCTAACCAGAACTCTTGAAACAGGCATCGTCTCAAAAGGAAACTTTTATTAAGGGTTATGACAGTAAGGGAGTCAAGGCGAGATCTGGGGAAAATCCCGAGCAAACGGTATAGTTAAAAGCAATATTCCTCCTCCCACCAGAGTCATAACGTCCGTTTGAAATCCAGCCAATCCACGGGTGGCAACGATGTGCGGTCTCAAGATCTTCTCCAGCTTTCCTTTCTCTGCAACCGTCTCCCTGATAAGGGAGACACATTCCTTTCTCAAGGGGGGAGAGGTGGACGGAGGAAAGCAGAAAGCAAAAGTCATCCCAAGCAAAAGCAAATATCTCCCCTCCCCCCCAGCAAACTGGCAGGCCCCAAAGCAAAGTACAAGAATAGAGTTATAAATGCAGGCGTGTTGTTGAGGCCCCGGAGTTTGGTCACGGGATTGCAAAGGGGAGGGGGAAATAATCGGAATTTATTTATTTATTTATTTTTATTTATAATTTGATTTGTATCCCGCCCTTCTCCTCACCGGACTCAGGGCGGCTAACAGCCTTATAAAACAACAATACAATAAATATCCATATTAAAACCAAATTAAAAGAAAATATTCGTAAAGGCCAATCGTTAAAATTACCCTTAAAATTACCCTTAAAAACCCCACTAAAATTCCCTAGGCCAAACCCGCTTGTTGAAAAAGCCATGTCTTTAGGGCGCGGCGGAAGGAGGGGAGATCCGGGATCACCCGGATCTCTGGGGGTAGTTCGTTCCAGAGGGTGGGGGCTCCCACCGAGAAGGCCCTCCCCCTGGGGGTCGCCAGCCGGCACTGTCTGGCTGACGGCACCCTGAGGAGACCCCAGGTAGGTCTGCTAGAACTTCCAACGGCTGCTAAGCAACGTAACTCGAGGACTGCAGCTCTGTTTTCAACTGCCCCTGCTTGCCACCAGCTCAGTTTATTGATCTGTCGCTGGCTTTTGTGGGGTGTGCAAGAGACAAAAAGGCTGACCACTGGATTTTGCAAAAGGGGGAGGGCGTTTGAGGGTCTTGGGAGAAAAGTTAGGAGTGCGGCATGCTTCGTAGAAAATAAATGTACATTTAAAAAATCGGTATCCTTGTTTGATCTGTTGCTTATTTTTTCAGCTCCTTGGCTGTTGGCAGCGTGCTGGGCTACAAATTCTTCTCCCTCTCTTCTGTGGATAAACTGGAGCAGATCTATGAGTGCAGTAAGTGTTCCTCGGTCTTCTTTTCCCCTTCTGGGTCTCCCTTTTCCTAAATTACGGCTGCAGACTAAGGCAGGATTCCTCAGCCTTCTCAACGTTAGGATGTAAGTCGCTTTTTCCAGTGCCACTGTAACTTTTGAGTCACTAAATGCATGGTTGTTAAGTCGAGGACTACGTCTATAACGGGAGCATTCCAGTTTCCAATATGAGGAGGTCTTCTGTGAAATCGTAGCAGCTTCACGTGGCCTTGGATCATAGACTACTCACAAGTGAAGGCGAAGATACGCGTTGTCACAGGATAACCTTGCAGGATCCAATCTGGGTCAGTCTTGTCTTCCGAGCTTTCATGCTAAAAGGGAACTTCCCCTCTCTCCAGGATGTGTGCCTTGGGCTATTCTGTGTGCAGCATTTATATGCTGCCTGTTGTGTGTGGCTTTTTCGTTGCTGATTGGGGTGTTGACGGCTGGCTATTCAATCGTTGGCTGTTGACATACATTCAATTTTGCAGTTACTAAGATTGTTGGATGAGCAGGCTCAAAAACAGCCAGGGAAATTTACCCCCAGCTTACCAAGTACCTAGGAGGCAAGGACTTGGCAGCACCAGGAAACAACAACCAAGGATTTAACTGCCAGCCATCAACACCCCAATCAACATCTAAAAAGCCGCACACAACAGGCACCATATAAATAACCATACTTAGAACAGCCCAAAACACACACACTGCTAGAGAGAGGTTCCCTGAGGACGGGCCCCAGCACGAGACCAAAAGCTTGGAAGACTGGCCCTCTGGTCCCGGTGACCGATCCGGATTGGATCCTGCATGCACTTACTCGCTTGGAGCGTCCAACTTCCTGAATTTCTCTGACTAGCTCAGAGAGCAGAACGTCGTCTCCCGGTCGGATGGACTCCTGAATCAGAACCACTAAAGAACCACTTAACTTCCTGGCCATTTTCCTAGTTGGCCAACACCGGCTGCGACGCCCTTTGATAATGTTAAGATTTATATGAATAGCTCCGTCCAGGAAGCCTCACCGGCCGCCTGAAATGTGTTTAGCCGCACCGATTTTTCGTTGCTTTTTATTTACAGCTCTCCAAGCGCCAGCGAGTGGAGGACTTTAACCCCTCTTGTTCTTTCGCCTTCTCCCACTTAACAGCTTCGCGCTGAAATATGGCAGGCTATTTATAGCCAGCTGTGCTAGGAAAATGGCAACCTATTGATCCACCAGGGAGAGACAGTCTCTGGCTGTCGCAGTCGTTTAATTGACTGCCTCCATGTTCCAGTTCACTTGGAAATGGTCTGTCTCTCAGACCCACGTACCTCTGCCCTTGTTTTTTTTTAAAAAAAAATCTGCGCACTGCTAAAACTCTCGCGGCTGTTTGTAACTTTCAGTGGGGTGACACAGTGGATTGTAGGGCAACAGTCATTGAATCAACCCACCCCAAGTGGGCGAACTTAAAAGAATGTGTCCCAAATCCGGGAGCCATGAAATTTAACAGCATTATAGCTGCTTCAATGCTGACGCAGTCCTGTGGTGGTTATTTCCAACATTGCCGGTCAGCTTCCTACCAGGAAATTCAATGGGGAAGCCAACAGGAAGTCAAAAGTTATTCTCGTTGCTTTTTTGCCTGCCCATGCTCGTTCTATTTCTCTGTTTAGTAAGGAAGTATCTCTGAATGCTTTGCAGGAATTGGGTATGGCTAGTCTAGTGAAAAGAAGCACCAGGGGTGACATGATAGCAGTCTTTCAGTATCTGAGGGGCTGCCCCGAAGAAGAGGGGGGGTCACGTTATTCACCAAAGCACCAGAGGGCAGGACAAGAAACAATGGTTGGAAACTGATCAAAGAGAGAAGCAACCTGGAATTAAGGAGAAACTTCCTGGCAGTGAGGACAATCAACCAGTGGAACAGCTTGCCTCCAGAAATCGTGGGCGCTCCATCACTGGAGGTTTTTAAGAAGAGGCTAGACAGACACTTGTCTGAGATGGTAAAGGTTCTCCTGCTTGAGCAGGGGGCTGCACTAGAATCCCTTCCAGCTCTATTCTATAATAATCCCCACAGGCCACAGGTTGTCTAGTAAAGTAATAGGAACTGTAGATGCCCAATGTTCTAGCCAGACAACCTTCTAGAGACATCTTAGACAGTTTCTTGGGGGTGTGTAAGTCTCATGAAATCTGTCCTCCCCTGCATCTGCAGTTAACCCAGTTGGTTCTTCTTCTGTTTCGTGTCACCCCCGTTCCCTTTCCACCCTCACCCTGCAGCTGACACAGAAGACGTGTGCATTGTGGAACGGCTCTTTTCCAGCAGCCTGGTAGCCATCGTGAGCCTCCGAGCGCCTCGCAAGCTGAAAGTCTGCCACTTCAAGAAAGGGACGGAGATCTGCAACTACAGCTATTCCAACACGATCTTGGCCGTCAAGCTGAACAGGCAGGTGAGTGGGGGCCCACTCAGGTGAGCTCCTCTTGCTGGTTTTCTAAGAGCCCTGGTGGCGCAGTGGTTCGAAGGCAGCTTTGCAGGCTAACTCTGCCCACCGCCAGGAGTTCGAACTTGACCAGCTCAAGGTTGACTCAGCCTTCCATCCTTCCGAGGTCGGTAAAATGAGGACCCAGATTGTTTGGGGCAACAGGCTGACTCTGTAAACCGCTTAGAGAGGGCTGTAAAGCACCGCGAAGCGGTATACAGGTAGCCCTCAACTTACAACAGTTCATTTAGAGACCGAAATTACAACGGCACTGAAAAATGCGAGTTATGACCATTTTTCACACTTAGGACCGTCGCACCATTCCCTGGGGTCAGGTGATCAAAATTCAGACGCTTGGCCACTGACTCCTATTTACGACGGTTGCAGCACCCCAGGATCACGTGATCCCCTTTTGCGACCTCCTGACAAGCAAAGCCAATGGGGGAAGCCAGATTCACTTAACCACCGGGTTACCAATTTAACACACCTGCAGTGATTCCCTTAATAGCTGTGGCCAGAAAAGTCGTAAAACTGGACAAAACTCACTTCACAGATTTCTCAGCAACATAAACGTTGGGCTCAATTGTAGTCATACGTCGAGGACTATCTGTAAAAGTCTTAACTGCTATTGCTATCTGCTTCTCTCCTTTTTTTTATTCCCTTCCCCCCCCCCCCCCCCAGAGATTGATCGTTTGCCTAGAAGAGTCTCTGTACATACATAATATACGGGATATGAAGGTGCTTCACACCATCAGGGAGACGCCCCCCAATCCTGCAGGTAAAGATGCTCCTTACTCTCTTTTGATCCTCCTCTGATACCTTTCCGCTCCCCCATTTTAGCTGGTTACTTCCAAAACCATACGGTGGGTTTGTTCATCTAAGGCAGGGGTAGGCAACCTTGGCTCTTTTATGACACGTGGACTTCAACTCCCAGAATTCCTGAGCCAGCCATGCTGGCTGAGGAATTCTGGGAGTTGAAGTCCACGAGTCATAAAAGAGCCAAGGTTGCCTACCCCTGATCTAAGGGATGTTAGTGTCAGGCACGAAAGACCTGGACCAGATGTGAAACTGCATTTAAACTGATTTATTTCTACCTAGTTGTGTAGGTTGAATGTCATTAACCTTGACCTAGTTGTGTAGGAATCTACACAACTAGGTCAAGGTTAATGACATTCAAGAAAGCTTGGTCTTAATCTTTTGCAGCTATGTGGAGTCTCTAGGCTGATTCCTCTTTTGACTCCACCCCCCAGATTCTACAATGCTGTCTCCTACAGTTAGTTGAGCTTATCTGATGTTTTTGACATCACCCAGATTGGGAAGTTGTGATGCACACACACACAACCAGGCTCCTGGGGCCCGAAGGAAGGACTTGATCAGATTGAGACAGTTTCCTTCTGCATTTGCTTGACACAAACATTCAAATTGGCACCTTGTCTATTTATTTATTTATTTTTTTGGTCAAAAACCAAGAGCCAGTTAGAACTAATTCTTGCTGAATGACTTGCTTAATGACCGTTCAAAGTTACAGCTGACTCCAAAGAAGGTACTTACGACCCATCCTTGAAGTTACCACTCACACACACACGACATCACATTTTTGGCAAAGCGAGTGCAGAAAAGAAAAATAATGTAACAAATAAGAAATATAAAGAAATAGCTTCCCTCTTCGCCTCAATAAATATAAACCTTTTTTAACAACTTATCACTTCCTTTTAAAATGCAACAAACCACCTCTTAACCGTCCCACGTGGTCTGTCCGTAGACATAACCTTAAAATCATGCGATTCAGTCCTGGTTAGCAAAAATCCATTAAGAGTTGGTAATATTATTGTTGTAATTAATCTTGATTCTTTCATGGCAGTTTTGGAAAGGAGAGAGTCCTGTTTTGCCGTTTCCTCTCTGTTTTTCTTAGGCTTATGTTCCCTGTCCATAAACAACGATAACTGTTACCTGGCCTATCCAGGGAGCGCGACCATCGGTGAAGTCCAAGTTTTCGACACCATCAACCTGGTAAGATCCTGCAGGCTTCCGCCATGCTCTGACTCTGAAAATTGGGGGCTTCTTGGGTGGGTGGGAGGGCAGGAGCCGCCGTTCTGCCCTAAGTGTCATGATTCCGACAGATGAAACTCTTCAAAAGAACTTCGAGGCATTGTTTACCTTAAAGGATCTTTTATTCGAGTAGCATAATATCGGCACTTACATAATCGAAGCCAAAAACTGGATTCCCCTCCCCTGGGCACCTAGTACCAAAGCACAATTCCCTCCTCCAATTAATAGTCATAAATCACATTCCCCAATTAGCTTAAAGCGCTGGCTTCCTCTCCAGCTCTCCAGCCGGCCAATTCTTTATCAGCTGTGGGCTCAATAACCTTGATTCTCATGCTAAGTTTAGTGTTGTTATGTCTAACTAAACTCTCATTCACATCCCCCCCCCTCCAGCATCGTCTAATTCTAAAAGGGAAAGGGAAAAAGACGGCTACATTTCCATCTGTGGTCAATGCAAAAAACATCCGATGTTAGCAGCGTTGACACTAAGGTCTTGTGTTCCGTTCTCGTGCTTCCTCACAGAGAGCTACCAACATGATCCCCGCCCACGATAGTCCGTTGGCTGCCCTGGCTTTCGACGCAAGCGGTACGAAGCTAGCCACCGCCTCAGAAAAGGTGAGTTCCTCATCCCCTCCGTGGAAGAAAAAAAAAAGGGAAGCTTGAGTTGATCCAGAGAGATTCAAGTGAATCAGACAGGCAGAGAAACCAAGCGGTGACTTTGAGAAGGTGGCTTGGATGGCTTTGAAAGGGGGGATTCTTCCTTTCTTTCAACAGGGTACAGTGATCCGGGTATTTTCCATTCCAGAAGGGCAGAAGCTCTTTGAATTCCGAAGGGGGATGAAGAGGTGATGTGTGATTGCCGTCTGAAGATGGTCCTGGGGGGAGATTGAAGGCTGCGTGAACTGTTCTGTCTCCTTCCTTCCCCTTTTCCTTCCTTCCTTCCTTCCTTCCCCTTCCTTCCTTCCTTCCTTCCTTCCTTTCTTCCTTCGCTCCTTCCTGATTTGGGGAGACCGTCTCTCTCCCCTCCAGAGCCTTTGCCAGCATCTCGTGGCCTCAGTAGGGCAGGCAAGGCAAGGGACTCCAGCATAAGGGGCAGGGAGGAGCTACCTGCAACAGACCCTCCGTGGTTGACCCGCCGTCTGTCTCTTGGCTTCCTCCCTCCAGGTGTGTCAGCATCTCTTCATTGGCCTTTAGCATGGATGGCATGTTTCTGTCGGCTTCCAGTAACACAGAGACGGTGCACATTTTCAAATTGGAGACTGTGAAAGAGAAGTAAGTCTGGGGAAGGCCGGGCGATCTCCGAATTGGCTTGAACACGGAGAGACAAATGGCTTCATTAGCAATAGTGACTGCAGGGTCCCTTCCCACAGAAAGAAAAGTTGGGGCGGGGAAGCAGAGGGGCGTCGATTATGTCCTGGGCTTCTTCTGCCTGCAATTTTTGGGGGGGGGGGGATTAGGTTGTGGTTTCCTGCAGCGGCGAAGTCCCGTAAAACTCCTCTTTGAAAAGAAGAGCGATCCCCAACTTCTTGGATGGACGCTCGTGTCTTTAGGGGACGATGTTGACGACCGTCTTTCTTCCCTCCCGCCCTTCCAGACCTCAGGAGGAGCCCACCACCTGGACGGGCTACTTTGTGGAGACCATTCGGACGTTCCCAAACTACCTGCCTGCCCAGGTGACCGAAATGTTCAACCAAGGCCGAGCCTTCGCAACGGTCCGGCTCCCCTTCTGTGGGCACAGAAACATCTGCGCCTTGGCCACGTGAGTAGCGGCAGGGGAAGGGTGGCCTTTGGCCACAAGAGCTGCCTTTGGGGGAGACGGAGGCTGATGGAGGACCCTGGGGGTTCCAGCTTTACAACTGGGCAATGTTGATCATAGTTACATGGATATCCTTCAGAATACAGCCTTGAGGCGACTTCTTTCTTCTTTCTTTCTTTTCTTTTCTTTCTTTCTTTCTTTCTTTCTTTCTTTCTTTCTTTCTTTCTTTCTTTCTTTCTTTCTTTCTTTTCCTTCCTTCCTTCCTTCCTTCCTTCCTTCCTCTCTCCTTCCTTGCTTCCTTTCTCCTTCCTTCCTTCCTTTCTCTCTCCTTTCTTCCTTCCTTCCTTTCTTCTTTCCTTCCTTCTCTCTGAGCTTGGTGGTTTTCTTGCAGACGTTTCATTACCAACCTAGATAACATCATCAGTGCTAGAAGGGAGTGGGGTTTGTGGAGTGGAAGAAGAGGAGGAGGAGGGGAAGGAGGAGGTAAAGGAAGACTGTTGGGTCCTTGGTGCTCCTTGCAGACGTTTCATTACCAACCTAGGTAACATCATCAGTGCTAGCTGATGAATCTTTAATTCCTTCTAGAATTCAGAAAATCCCCCGATTGTTGGTAGCGGCTGCTGATGGGTATCTCTACATGTACAATTTGGACCCCCAGGAAGGGGGTGAATGCACACTGATGAAACAGCACAAGTGAGTCCCCTTCCTCACTGTCTCTTCCCCCTTTGCCCTAAACTCTTCTTTGAGGGTTGGTCCTAAAGACACAACATGGGCTTCCAAGTAAGGGGGTGGGCACAGAGCTTCTAACACATCTGTTGAAGTGATCTTTGGCGACAGTGAAGAATAAGATTTGAGCGTACGTTTTCTTCAAGTATTCAGTCATGTCTGAAAACCGATGTAGACATAGTTCTTGAGTTACGACCGAGAAATAGCCATTGTGGACAGTGGATTGCTCAACAACTGCTGCAAAGAAAAAGAAAAGGAATCATGAAATCAGATCAGTTACATCAGGGATCCTCAACCTTGGCAACTTTAAGACTTGTGGACTTCAACTCCCAGGCTGGAGTTGAAGTCCACAATTCCTGGCTGAGGAATTCTGGGAGTTGAAGTCCACAAGTCTTAAAGTTGCCAAGGTTGAGGACCCCTAAGTTACATGATGACCCTTTAATGAGCGATACAACTTACGCCCATAATTCTGGGCTCAATTGCACTCATAAAACGATTACATTTGTGTGCCAACAATGATTACAATTAGACTCTGTTGGAGGAGTCTGTCTGATCTGAAATAAGGTGGATTCCTGCAAGTATGTCTTGAGTTTTCCTGCCCAATGTTGAGTTGTGCTGTTGATGGCGACCAGGACGTGCTTTGTGATGTCTCCTTGTCTGTTTCCCTAGATTGGATGGCAGCATGGAGCCAGCCAATGAAATCCTAGAATCTGCCTCCCATGACAGGCCACTAGTAGCACAGACTTACAGTGCCGCTGTGACTAGGGGTGCTGCTTATATGCCTTCTTCACCCACAAGACATGGTAAGAACCTCTTAGAAGCTTCCCACTCTGGGCTGAGATGTTTGCATGGATTCCCTGTCCTGTCAGGAAGAATAGAGGCTGAAACATATAAGGAACGGTTGCTGGAATTGGGTCTGTCTAGTTTAACGTAGAGAAGGACGAGGGGGGACATGATAGCAGTGTTCCAATATCTCAGGGGCTGCCCCAAAGAAGAGGGAGTCAAGCTATTCTCCAAAGCACCTGAAGGCAGGACGAGAAGCAACTCATCAAGGAGAGAAGCAACCTAGAACTAAGGAGAAATTTCCTGAGAGTTAGAACAAATAATCAGTGGAACTCCTTGTCTCCAGAAGTTGTGGCTGCTCCAACAATGGAAGTTTTTAAGAAGAGACTGGACAATCATTTGTCTGAAATGGTATAGGGTTTCCTGCTGAGCAGGGGGTTGGACTACATGACCTCCAAGGTCCCTTCCAACTTTATTATTATTATTATTATTATTATTATTAGTAGTAGTAGTAGTAGTAGTAGTAGTAGTAGTAGTATGCCATCCATATGACTTAATAGGCCCCTTGGTTCAAGGGCCCACCTTTGTGTTGTCACCTGGTCAATCAACACAAACAGAGAAGCATTGACTCTATCGCCATTGCCTTGGCAACACAACAGACCACAGGATTCCACCGGTCCTCTTTCTACCCCTTGTCCGTTTCTGGGTTGATGGTCATGGTTGGTGACTTAAGAGCCACCAGGTGGCGCAGTGGTTCGAGTGCCATTCTGCGGGCTAGCTCTGCTCACCGCCAGGAGTTCGATCCTGACCGACTCAAGGTCGACTCAGCCTTCCATCTTTCCAAGGCCGGTAAAATGAGGACCCAGATTGTTGGGGGCAATATAGGCTGAGTGTAAACCGCTTAGAGAGGGCCGTAAAGCCTTACGAAGCGATATATAAGTCTATTAGCTGTTGCTATTAAGACAGAGTCTCTCCTGCACTTTGGTGACAGACTCTCCTTGATCCGCTGCCCTTGTCCAGAAGGGTTGTAGCCAAGGGGGTAGGGTGTCCAGTAACGACTTAAGGAAGGCTGCAAAACCCCTCCCTAGTAACTCAAAAGAGCTCGTGTCTCGAATCCTTCTAAAGTTGGACAAGGAAGGATCCTAAAGGTGCTTTTCCAAAAGGCAACTGGACTTTTTTTCCCCCTTCCTTTCGCTTCTCATCCAATAAGCTTCTCCAGTTCTGAACCGAAGAAGCTTCTTGGTTGAGAAGCAAAACATTTTCAAGTGGAAAAAAAAAACAAGGGGAAAAAAAAGCATCTTTAGGACAACCCTGACCTTGGATGGTGGAGAATCTCCATAGGCCACCAAGAAAGGTGCATGTTTCTTCTGAACGGTTGTCTCCTTTCCATCTCCCTTCAGTCTACAACGAAGATCTGGGGGCCGTGGGGGGCGTTTGCCTGGAGGACGACATCAGCTCTCTGCGGCTAGACGAGGATGGCGAGCATCCTCCCATGATCCTTCGGACTGATTGAACTTCGACCTGTGAATTCCACTCCCAAAGCTGAGAACGTCAGTCTGACGCTTCTGGAGGACTTGTGTCCACGCTGCTGCGGACTTTGGCCTGAACCAAGAGCGTGATCCTTGAAGGAGACAGACTTCCCTCTGAAATAGTTTCGAAGCGAAACATGCACACACACAGACACACACGCCCCCACCGTAGCTTTGTAGTGCCGATTTCCTTTCCATCCCAGGTGGAAACGCACACCTGGATTTCACCTGGGTGGCGCCCCGCTTTTTTAGCCGTCAGGAAATAACCCGTATATTTTTGTTGTTGCCAAAAAAAAACCACCCCCGCTATTTATTCAGCACCTTTGAGCTTTGCATGCCTCCTTGTGCCAAGTGAACGTAGGCGAGCCAATAGATTTTATAACAGGTTTTTTTTATTATTATTATGATTTCTAAAGAAAGCAAGTTTGTGAACTTCACACTGGGCATTGGCGAGGGGAAGGAAGAGCAGCATTGTCGAGCTCAAGACGCGTTAGCTTCTTCTGCCTGGACAAGAAAAATAATTATTATTATTTTTAAACAACAACGTTTTGTTTTCCGCACGGCTTAACAGGCGTGCCTGGTGAATTTGACTCACTACTTTTACTGAAGATCAAGCGGTTCCCTTCCGAATCTTTCCCGCCTCTCCTCCGTGATCCATTTCCTCCAGCCTCTTCTCTGATTTGTATCATTTTGCTTTTTCTCCCCCGGCTCCTCAGACCATTTTGATAATTAAAACTCCTCCTGATTCTGCCTCGTTTGTGGGATTGTGGTATTTTTGTGGCCAGGGACCTTGTTTTGCCAAGCATCTTCCACCGTAAAGATAAGGCTTTGATCAGCCAAGGAGAGAGAGAAAGGAAGAAAAAGCTGTCTCTGTCTTTGGGGGCCATTTTTAAAAGCTGTGTGAAGCCAGGAATCCTGGCTTAGTAGATCACAGTCGGTTGCATATTGAGGGCACCCAACAAGGCAGTGGAGAGATCTGAATTTTGAGAGCAAGAGATGAATTGGAAAAATCTGGAAGTGCACACATGGGCAACCTCTTTGTCTTGGAATCTGTGTGAACTCCAGAGTTGCTGGGGATCTGGGTCTCTCTAGATTCCTTTCTCCATTTTTGAACGTAGATCTCTTGAGATCCCAGTTTAAGCCAGCTTCTGCGTCATTTGGCTACACGCTTGGGAGATTCCTTTCTCCATTTTTGAACGTAGATCTCTTGAGATCCCAGTTTAAGCCAGCTTCTGCGTCATTTGGCTACACGCTTGGGCTTGACATACAAATCTGTCCTGCTTTTATTTGCTTGCTTGAAGAGTGAAGGAAAACGGGCTGCTTGTTACCAGTATCATGGTTTGTTAACGTCCGATCCCTCCTGGGCTTCATACGATGTCATAACCTAGCTAGCATGTTGAGTTTAAAAACGGGCTGCTTGTTACCAGCATCATGGTTTGTTACGTCCGATCCCTCCTGGCCTTCATACGATGTCATAACCTAGCTAGCATGTTGAGTTTAACAAGTGTTCAGTTGTTAACCAGAAAGTTATGTTCCTCCTCCGGTTAGTTTTATCCAAGCTGTATAAATCGACTTGTCTCCGTTTGAAATCCTTCCCTGTCTGTCGCTTTCTTAAAGTCTTTTGGGAATCTTGTCAATTTTTGTCTAGATCCGTGCTGGGTTTTGTTTTCTGCTGATGGAAAAACCTTACTTATTTTGTTTCTCCAATCTTCAGAGCTCCTGTGGATTTCAACCTTAACCTCTTACTTCCACCTTCCTTCTCTCTCGGAAGGTTCATCCCTATATTTTGGCATGTTGTCGTGCTGTGCGTTTTCCCCTCCATCGCAACTGCCACCAACAGTTGCTCTAGGAGATTAAAAGGGTGAAGCTTGAACTTTGGGGTGTCTTCTGAAGGGCGTCTTCAAAGAAAGCTCATTTCTAGCATGTTAATGAAGGCCCACGTGTCCTCCTTAAGTTGTGGGTCATGGTTTAAACCAGGGGTAGGCAACCTTGGCTCTTTGATGACTCGTGGACTTCAACTCCCAGAATTCCTGAGCCAGCGTGGCTCAGCTTGGAAACCTCTCCCTTTCCCCTCAGCGTGGCTGGCTCAGGAATTCTGGGAGTTGAAGTCCACGAGTCATAAAAGAGCCAAGGTTGACTACCCCTGGTTTAAACAATCATGTTCCTGTGTCATTTTTTTTTTCTTGGTTGCAGCATATCCTCCTCTGGACGTGTTACATGGCCTAACCTGTTGTGTCATTTCTCACTTCCAACAGCTTGCGCAACAGTTCTTGTGTCATTGGGGGGGGCAAAGAAATAAGCTTGTTTGCAACTGCCAGGACTTGGATGAAAGTGTGACCAAAATCGGAGGGGGGAAAAAAACTGCCTTTTCTTTACTGAGCTGTAAATGTGCCTTGTTTTGTTTTGTTTTGTTTTCAAACTTTGAGATTTGTTTCTGTGCGCCAAGAAGAAAAATTATGTGGAGAAAAAAAAACCCTTTTTTGAGTGTGAATGTTCTTTCTTTTTTTTTCATAGAATGTTAGCCATCTTGGGTTTTTCCCCCCCCCCTCTCTTTTCCTCATTTTGATTAAATTATCACTCAATCTTCCTCTATTGTGACCGTCTCTTCTGGAAACGAAAATGAAGGAAAACGTTTGCTGGGGAAAAAATACAGGGAAAAGAAAGAACTGGAAAAATGTGTCTTCGCAAGAAGGAAAAACATTTATTTCTGCAAGGCTTCGTTTCTCCGTCTGTTTTTGTCTCGATTCAGAGTTTTTTGTTTGTTTTTTTTACTTCTTTTGTTGAGTTGATCGAAATGAGATCCTGAAAAGTGCACTGGGAATTTCCCAGTTGCCAGGATGGGGGCTGAAATTCAGATTTCAGGAAAGGGTCATAATAAGCCAAGCTTTCCCAGAATTGAAAGCCCTGTTAATTGACTACATGACCACTAGACGTTCTGGATTTTTGTGTGCCTGGGTGTGTGTGTGCCTTAATACAAAACAAAATTTGCATACACCGCTTTAAATGCAGCTACCTCGGAGGAACTTTCTTTATTGCAATGTGAGATAGTCTGATGTTTTGGGTGGATTCTGGGAGTTGAAGTCCACAAGTCTTAAAAGTTGCCAGGGTTGAGGACCCCTGTGGAATACTGCATCCAGTTTTGGTCACCACGATGTAAAAAAAGATGTTGAGACTCTAGAAAGAGTACAGAGAAGAGCAACAAAGATGATTAGGGGACTGGAGGCTAAAGCATATAAGGAACGGTTGCTGGAATTGGGTATGTCTTGTTTAATAAAGAGAAGGATGAGGGAGGACATGATAGCAGTCTTCCAATGTCTCAGGGGCTGCTGGAATTGGGAATGTCTCATTTAATGAAGAGAAGGACAAGGAGGGACATGATAGCAATGTTCCAATATCTCAGGGGCTGCTGGAATTGGGGATGTCTAGTTTAATGAAGAGAAGGATGAGGGGGGACATGATAGCAGCCTTCCAATATCTCAGGGGCTGCCCCAAAGAAGAGGGAGTCAAGCTATTCTCCAAGGTGCCTGAAGGCAGGACGAGAAGCAAAGGATGGAAACTAACCAAGGAGAGAAGCAACCTAGAACTAAGGAGAAACTTCCTGACAGTGAGAACAATTAACCAGTGGAACAACCTGCCTCCAGAAGCGGTGAATGCTCCAACACTGGAAGTTTTTAAGAAGAGACTGGACAGCCATTTGTCCCAGATGGTATAGGGTTTCCTGCCTGAGCAGGGGGTTGGACTAGATGACCTCCAGGGTCCCTTCCAACTTTTATTATTATTATTATTATTATTATTATTATTATGACAAGCATCCCAAGAGAGCCCCTTTGAGGTTTGACCTGTCCAAGGTCCTGAAAGCCCCCACAGTTGCTGACCTGTCAATGAACCGCAAAAACTTTTCTCCGCCTGAGGTTCTCTACTTGTTCTGGAACCTGGATCCCCAGTTCCAATAATGGCCGATGTTCCTGCCAGTTATACATGCAGAGACTCCGCAGTGCAGCTGAGGACCGTCGAGACTGAGAAAGATTGCCTTCCCAGTCGTCCAGTTGATCCCCACTTTTTAGGTCAGCGCAGGGCACTTCTCAAGCCAGGAATACCTGAGAAAGCTGATTTTTTTTTTTTTTTTTTTTTAAAGAAGAAGAAAAAAAAATCATGAAATAAACAGGCTTGGTTTCCTCCAGTTAACCTACAGAACAATTTAACCAATTCTGTTTTGTCCTGATACTTAGGAAAGAGTAGATCCTTACTCATGTACTTACTTACAGGACCTATACAGCTGCCTGTTTATGGGCAGGAGGCCTTTATTTTGGGGTAATAAATTTATATGCCACGCATCTCACCATCGAGCGACGCTGAGCAGCTTACAGCGGTTGTGATCACAGACCCACACCCATTCCTACTTTAGGTTGTGGATGCAAGTGAAAGGGTGGGGTGCAATCAAGCAAACTCCACTAAGCTGTGATTTAACCACAATAAGTTTTTCTTTCTCTGTGTCTCTGTGTGTCTGTCTGTCTCTCTCTCCCTCTCCCTCTGTGTGTGTGTGTGTGTGTGTTTGTGCTGTCACGGAGCAATAAACCTAAATCAAATGTCTAGCCAGGCTTGAATCCAGGCAGATATATCCATGGCAGCAAGCGTGCCAGCCTCTTGACAAGACGTTGAGAAGACAAGAAAAATGCCCGCCAGAATAAAAACGCTACGTTGACCACAGATAACGGCAGCTGAGAAACAAAACGTCGGACTTGTACACTGTGGCATCCTCCAGGCACAACACAACTGGCGGCAGGATGCAACCTGCCTTGGCAGATGGTACCTAACCACCCTCTGATTGTGCCTCCCCTCATCCAGTCATATCCAATCGTGCCCACCTTACATTCCCAACATTTTGAAAGCCATTTTTACTACGCAGAGAATTTGGTCCCGTTGGCCAAGACTCGTCAAGCCAGCTTAATCGCCTGCAGATACTACTTGGAGCAGGTGTGTCCGACCTTTTGGCTTACCTGGGCCGCACTGAGTGATGGGGAATTGTCTTGGGCTGCCTCTCCAGGAAGTCCTCAGCTTAACAACCATTCATTTACACTTCCCTGTACTTCAACCATCTCGTCTGTTCTTTCTCATTCCCACAGAAAGATTCCAGCAAATTGCATCTCTTTGATTATCAAGCCGAGGCCCCATCGATACACGAAGCGCTGCCAAAGCAACAAACCAGGATAGATCGTGCCTTGTTGCAATCCATGCCTTCCCTAGCAACCCCCCCACACACACACACACCAGTCTCCATAGGCTTGGTTGTCAATGGCGCTCCAGATGCAGAGCTGAAATATACTCTCTTCTCTAGTGTTTGCACCCGTTGTAAATTTCTGGCCTCGCTCAGGCGAAGGGCTGTCGCCCGCCAAGAAAGAAGCATCTGAGTTACACAATGTTGGCCCTCGCCTCTGTCGGATGGTGACATGAGCACCCACGGTGTCGGCATTATTGCCATGACAACTGCGGACGGTCTTTCTTAAGCCCTCTTCTGCTTTTCATCACCAGAGCCAGGGTTTGTCCTGAGCGGAGGAAGAGACAGAACCAGCCTAATAGAGCTTAACTTAATCACGGTGAGGATAAATTAGGTTTCTGTCCCTTATGAGCCAGATGGCAACTAACGGTTAGGGCAAAAAAAGAAGAGCTAAAAAAAAACAAAACATGCAGTCAGATTTGTCAGGCGTCCCTGAATACTCAGACTTGTTGGCATGAAATGGGTTTGTTTTTGCTCTGCCA